GGCCGGATCCGGGCCTCTCGGACGCCATCGACACGCGCATGTATACTCGCGGCACATTCGGACGGAATCCTGCAACGTTCCACTGAACAAAGCGGTTTTCCGGCGAAAAAAATGAACCCGCGAAACTTCGAACACATTACCACGGAAATCGATAGCGGCTGCGTTTGATGGAGTGTTGGGTCAAGTTCGAGGGAAGGTGTTCGGGACCGATGTTTCCATCGTATCGTCAAAGTTTGCAAATTTTACCCGACCCCTCGGCTTACGAGACTGTAATTATTTGACTATAATGGCGCAAGTATTGTCTCGATAAATATTCCAGTTGCAAGACCGAACGAATTAATTAATTAATTAATTAACTTCTAACTACTACTGCCGGTCCGTGAGATTACTACTAATTACTTGTTCGTCCGTAGTAATGATATAATGGTAAGAAAAAGTGTGGGAAAAAAGGAACGTTTTTAACACACTTGCTTCTCCTCGATCGAACTCGGACCAGTTCATTATTTATGTGCAAAGTAAGAACAATTGATTTTGATTTAACACTTTTATGTCAATAATAACGCAATACAGTAATGTCTCCCTTACTAATATAAAAATTATCTTGGAACGTGATGTAACAATTTTAGCGGTGCCTCAGAGTCACCACTCGAGTGCAAAGGGTTAACGTGATTCGGGTATTATAAAGGTTACTTTTCCACACAAAACGAAGAATATTCGTTCAACGGGGGACGTTCGTACAATTAAATCGAAAATGAATTCGCCGTCTTCGTCGTATTCTACGAAAACAGTTGATCAATCTTTCTGTGGTTCGCTTCATTATGGATGCAATAAAGGATCCCGCTCGCTTCGCCCGTACCAGGTGGTACACTTAATCGCTGAAAACAGCCAGAAAACAGTGTAGGCCGGAATTCCATAAAAATTCTTAATCTCGAACACGGCCGAACAAGTCGTAAATTCACTCCACGTCGGCACCTTCCCCGGAGCGGCATGCGTAATAAATTTTCCACGAACGAAATCGAGTCGGTCGCCGCAGCCACGGGCAAAAACATAATTTGAATTCGACGCATTATCGGGCCTAGGATCGGCGCCGGGGCTAGGGGCAGAGAGGGGGTGAGGAGAGGGCGAGCGAGAGAGGGATGTTTTCCGCGCGGAGAGCACCGAGGAAACCCTTGGCCCCTCTTGATCCACGGGGGAGGAGGCGCGGAATCAAGTGTTTGAGATTATGACGGAGGCTTCGGTCACGTATTTCATTAACCGTGATGCTGTCGGTTCCGGAGCCCACGTAGGGCGAGTGGCAGATCTCTCGAGGGTGCAGGTAGCCGCGAAATATGTTTGCTTTGCGTTACATCCCCCGGGATGATCCCGTTATAATTATGAATGTCCTTGTTGTTCCGCGAACGAGCGCCGACCAATTCTTCGCCTCTTTGGTCGCCGTTAATCTCGTTGGGGATTCCGCCGAACCCCGTCTCCTGTTCTCGCACTTTTTCCTCCCCATTTAAGGTTTAAGCTTTTATAAATCATAGTCGACTGCAACAATTCGATTTAGGAGGAAACGTGAAGTAAAGCAATTTGGCATAGGTACTCGCCCTTAACCGTTTTGAGTCGCAGGGGTTATTCAGAAAACACGGTCGAAAAGTGTCGAACAGCGTGGACAGCGCTTGTCTTAACACTTTATCGTCCGGTCGTGGTTGAGGCTGCCACTCAGTAAGGACTGGCTTAGTCGCGCGCGCATTTGCTCCCAGTACCGGCTAAATTTTCGCTATTCATTGTGTTGTGCTTATTCCTTTAAAAATAATAATAAATAATAATAATTATTATAATTATAATTCATAAGGATATGGGGAGGTCAGCATACAGGAGGTCAGCTACTAACAAAACAGTAAAGAAGCGAAAACCGTCGATAGCTAAAAGTCGATTAATAGGCTATCGGTCGATAAGCATTGGCAATCGAAAAGCCGATTAATAGGCTAGCGATCGATAAACATTGGCAATCGAAAAGCCGATAAATAGGCTAGCGGTCGATAAAGTGTTAATTGATCGCGAAGAGAACCAAGCGGCGCGATAGCGCTCGTTAAGATTGACAAACAAAACAGACAGAAAGAAAAGAAAAGCAGCTGTGCGATGTACGCGCGTCACCGAGGTTTGACGCGACACAAAATCTGAACAGCGCGATCGCGCTGCTTGTCGACTCGGTTAAACAATTAGCTGTCGGAATTTTCTTGAAATGACTGTTTTACTTTTTAACATTATTTATATACTTGACTTAACCAGTTCGCTGTTTTTAACGAATACAATATCGTCGCTATATAAAATGTTGCCATTGACAACCGGTAAACGTAAACAAATATTTGCCTATTTTCTTCTTTTAACAAAATCCTAACAGTGATATCCTAACAGATTATATCGAAATGATGGAATCCGAACAATAAAATTAATATTATTCTTACAAATCGACAAATATATGTGAAATACATAATTTCGTGTACGATAATACTGTACTGCAAAGTTTCCAAATTGTTCTTAAGATTGTTCAACGCTGTTCACTAATGTGTCTATAATTGTTTCTATCACGGATTAAAATTGGATTTTCCATAGAACTCCGGACCATATTGGATCAGCTGAATACAATTTCGCTAGATGTCCAAACCGTCTGTAAACGCACGAATAGAGTGACTATTCGTACCAACTTTTCAACTCTCGTAAAATGTAGAACGCTTAAAATATTGAAATAAGATAGAACACCCTATACAGTGATTTCCACCGAAAATAATAACTGTTAGTTCTAATCGTGTTGATTACGAGTTTTCCATTGAGACAGCTAATGCGGGTCAGACTGGATCCAAGCGTCATCGTCAGCGGCTACAACCGGATAAAACCCGGGAAACCATCGGCTGTTCGTTTCCGCGGGAAATTCATTGAACGCGAAAACCGACGCAGAGACGTTTCCATCGTTTCCAAGCCTTGTATCGACGAGATCTGTTCGCCGGTCTAGCGTGCTTTGAAACGAGCAGCGACAGATTGGAATTACCATATTGGAAGAGGGACTGGACTCCTTATTTCCGTTTCCTTTAGCGCGGGCGAACGGGGGGCAGGGAGATGAAGAGATGAAAAGAGATGAGGAGAAATAGGAGAGGGATAAAGAAGTGGGGGGGGGGGCTAAGAAAACCCCCGAAGGGCTTCTATCCAAATCGCTGTCTGCCGCGAGATTCTTCTCCCGCGTTCTCGTGCAACTGTCTCCCGTCTTTTTTCACCGAGGTCTCCCTTTCCTTCGTGGTGCCCCTACCCCCGGCAGAAGGCAGCATCCCCCCTCTCCCGTCATACAACTTTCATCTCCCCTTTTCCATCTCGGGCCACGAGATTCATCCGATTCTCGTCCACGAAGATTTCAATCTTGTTTGGTCGAGGTATCGACACGTCCTCATCTTCCTCTCGATATTCCCTGCAACATGTTCCCCTTGCCCCGCCACCCTCGCCTTCTCTCTCTCTCTCTCTCTTTCTCTTTTTCTCGCTTCACGCGCCCCTTCCGGCCGCGAAGCGGTTGCTAACCCTTGCGACAACGAGAGAGGACGGTCGATGCATGTACAGGGTGTCCCAAAGTATGGGACCACTCGAAACGCGTGAACCCATTATTGTGTGAACCCGATTATTCGAGCCTTGCACCTCGTTTTTATAATTGCTGACAATCGGCAGCTGTAAAAATGAGCCGCAAGACTCGATAAATCGCGCCTCCTCTCCACAAACTGTCCATTTTTCTTTCCAAACTGAGCGTGTGTCAATTAGGGAGAATTTACTGTAATTCGTTGAATATAAACAAAAAATGTATATCCCATTTCATAGGCTAAAAAGCATGTGAAATAAACGTTTTACTACCAGCAAAAGGATTGTCCATACTTCACACATTAAACAAAAAATAAAAAATAGCTGTGCGCCAACATTTCAAGCTGATTTTCAGGTTGACAGTTGATTGACAGGTTTTCTCTCGCTTGTAATATTTTTAGAGCAAGTGAAATCGACACTGATTTCGACAAACAGATCATACATCTGTTAACAATGGACAAGCAACTTCATACTATCTCCTTATCCTACCAGCAAGAGACGTCGACAAGATCGACGACAGCAATTTAGGCGTTGTTCAATATCCAATTCGGACCGTAACCCCAGCGATTTATATTTCCATCAAGAACATGCTCTAGCCGTCCCACGTTTCCAGGACACCCCGTACCGGTCAAAACGAATCGAGTGCAGGCTCTCGGAGGAAATTCCCGGTCGCTTCCGCAGGAAATTCGCGGAACACGCGACCCCTCCGCCGATTTCCAGACCCCTCTTGATCGTCGTCGTTTCGTCCGGTGATACACTTTTCCTCGGCGAACCATCGGAATGATCGTCCCCTCGAAAATCACGATCCTATCGCCCATCGCGAGCCTAACGTCCCCAAGGGTGCTCGGGTGGGGGCTGTAACAACCCCGGCAAGGTGAGCGCGACGTGCTCGCGCTCATTCTCAGCATCGAAAAGGACTTTTCCAGTCTATGAATATATTAAAAGCAAACAAAGCCGTTCCACCCGTAATCCTCGTCCTTTTCTCTCCCCACCGCGGCGCTGAGCCGAGCCGAACCGAACCGAATCGAGTCGAGCCGAACCGAGCCCGAGGACGTAGCGAACGCGTTTATTAAAGCGTCCCACAAACGCTTTCTTAAGCACTTTAAAGTTAAGCTTCGTCGTTATCCTTGAAAGTCCTGACGTGCCTCCTTTTCGTCGGACCGGCGAGCGCCGGGGGTGGCGGCGTTCACGGGAACGAGAAGCAATTAAAGTCGCGTCCATCGTTCTCAGCGAACGCCTTTCGTTGTTAAATAACTTGACACCGGTTACTCGGAAGAGCTCAATTATTTTACAGCCGCGCCTTCTTATCTCGCTCGATCATCTGCTCTTAACGAATCGCTGCGATTCGTCTTTTTCGATCGTGGACACTCGGTACTTATTCACAACGATTTCTCATTTTTCAGACCGAGATCTGCTCGAGCGCTCTCACGGACGTCATTCACGCTGTCATCAACGGCACCGATGGATGCTTGTTCTGCTTCGGACACGCGGGATTAGGTGAGTTCGCAATTCTTAAAGATCCGTTCGGCAAACGGCAATGTTTGATCTGTGATTTCTAGACTCGAGGTCCGTTTCAAACGATGATGTTATTATGTTCGAACGCTTACCGACGTGATTTCGTCTATTTATCGTGTTCTTACTGAATTTTTAATTTTCAATTGGGTAAACGTAATCTACAAAAACTCGCGTTCGTTTTCGTTGATAACTTGTAAACAAAGCTGCGGACTACATTTTCGCTATGACCTCCCCCATTTCTGGATTGCGAAACATTTTTGGGACACCCTATATACCGACGGTGATTTTATAATCTTTGAAAGTCTACGCATTACATTTAACCCTTTGCACTCGAGTGGCGACTCTGAGGCACCACTAAAATTTGTTACATCACGTTTTAAGATAATTTTTATATAAACAAAGTTTAGATTTAAAAAATTGTTAAGAGTGTAACTGTTGTGTGGGTCCCAAGAGTCAATTTCATATGCGTGAAATGCATTTTGTTATATACAATAAAAATACTATAAGTTAGAAAAATGATGTTATATTTACAATTAAAATAGCTTCGAGTGCAAAGGGTTAATAACGTTTAATAATTTAGTAATAGCGTAGTAATATAGTGTGATAACTTCGATTCGGATTATCATTTAAAAAAGAATTTTAAGCATCCTATTAGTGTAGCACGATAAAATAATAAAATCGTATGGATAGGCTTTTGGTACATACATACAGTAATGTCTCTCTAACTGACGCTCAGATTATGCACAAAAATGAACAATTACGGAAGAGGAGATATGATTATTCGAGCCTTTTACAGTCGTTGACAATCGATGGCCATAAAAAACGAGTCTCAAGGCTCGAACAATCGTATCTCCTCTTCCAAAATTGTCCATTTTTGTGCACAATCTGAGCGTCATTTAGGGAGACATTACTGTACATATAGTGTTATTATCGCCGAGCAATTCCGCGAGCATAAAGTTTCCGAGAATCGAGCTTAAATAAACGTCGACTTGCACGTTTGTTCGCCGAGACGCATTCAATCGAGGACGCGGAGGACCCAAGGCTCGACGTCCTGGATATAAAAAGCAGGTTAAACATTTTTCTTGCTTCCGCGTGGGTGAGCGAGGGGGTGACAACGACTGCGTCCTTCTTTCAGCTGGCTTTGTTCGACAAAGTTCGACGTCCTCGTAGACAAAACGTCATTGTTCCCACCGCGAGGAACTCATTCGCGTCGAGCGTGGAAATAATTACGTGAAATATGAATACACCTCGAGGAATCCTCGCATTTTTATCGCCCTACTGCGCCCTTTTTCGCAAGCTTGTTACGTCGGTAAGATACAGCCACAGCTGTCCATGCTGTACAGAACTCCGGCCTGTTTCGTGATCCGGGGAAATTAATTACTGCCCTGCCATTGCACCGCGGCAGCGAAAGCGAAGGGTCGCCGAATTTATGCATTTTCTTGGACCTTCGACTCCTGCGTTAACAACCGGAAATGGCGGAATCGGTAATGTAGCATACGAGTGCGCTGGAATCGTAGTGGCGTAATTTAGATTTTCGAAAATTTTCGATTAAAAAGGCAAGTTAAAGGGCAATGTTAAAAAGGCGAGTGAAATAAATTATAATGTTATCACAAATTAACCGAACTCTAAATGATCTTAACAATTAATTTGGTCAGTAAACATTACACATGTTCGTAAACAATAACACTCCTTGTTTCTCACAATGAGGAGAATGTGATTTACCTCACTATGATTCTAATCCACAGTGATACGTTCATACGAAATTATAAACTAATTCCATTCAAATCGATATCCATCCGACTAAAATGAAGTCAGCTGAAGTACCGATATAGTTTATCCAGTCGATACTTTTGTTCTTTAAACACCGTATGAAATTCTCTCTGTTAGCTTCTTTCTCTTTCGCTTGAGAATCAAAATTCCAAAAATGAACCTTCTAAACAATAAAGATCGAGAATATTTCGCGTAGTAGCATATTCTAACAAATTAGCATTCTCAAGGATTTACTGTAATCATGATTCGTTGCACTTTTCCAATAAAAATTTCGAGCGTATTCATCGGAACGTCGGTTAGAAAAGCAACAGCTTTCGGAAACATTAGAGTAGAATTTTTGTCGATGCTTAACCTTTGTAAACAGCTGTGAATAACTTTCGCTGGCGTACATTTAATTCGTTTTCCAATGCGCCGCGATATAGTTTCCTCGCCCGAGGTTTCCTTTACGACAGAATCGTCTTTGAAAGTCCGCCGAGAGTGCGTGACGACGACAAAGGTAGCTTCGCTAATTACTCGCGCACTCGGCGATCTTTAAAGCCGTGTTTCTTTGAGAGCGAAGACTCCGGCCGAGCAGATTTCACTGCACGTTTTCGGCTTATTTTGTCGCGAAGACTGCCAGACACGAAATTCAAAAGCTCCAAAGAGCGCATTCTGCCCTTGAAAAGTGTAGGGTGGTTGCGAGCCGCCGCCTATACGGGGGTAGTAGACCAAAACACCGACCCGAAACATGTTTTGTCCCACCGTCAATAGAGCAATCCACCTGCGAACGGCATAATAACAATACAATCACTGACAGGTGTATGCAAAGTCTTTTTCTAAATTCGCCATCCCCTCCGTAACCGGATCGCGGATTTTTGTGTCGTTAAAGTACATTCAAACGAAGACTTAAATTTTTACAAATCTTTCTTTCAATTAACGCCATATTTTCTGCACACAGAAAACTAAATAAATGAACGTCCTCAATGTATTTATAAATATAGGTCATTCTCTTTTCATAAATGTTAAGTAAAAACGAACAAGCATATTTTATATATTTCAAAAACTCCACTTTTACGATACACTCGAACGGCGCATCATTTTGACAGAAATATAATTGAGTATGCTCAGGAGCATTTATAATTTTATTCATCAATTTATTTTACACGTTGTTTCATTCTTTTTAGTCCGAATTCTTATACGGATATAAACAAAGTTATACAGATCAAAACCAGCAAATAGTCTCTAAATAGAATTCAACCATTTTAAAAATAATTAAAATTACTTTGATGTGTGAGTTAAGAGTTGGAAATGTATAATTTTCTAGAGTACGTCAAAAATGAGCGAACAAAATACGTTCGGCACATTCTAGCTAAAAGTGGAAACAGGTTTAATAAACCTAAAGATACTCCTACTAGTTTTCCTATAAACCTTAACCCCTTGCCGTACAATTTTCTTCATAATTAAAGTAATAAGCACGTTTTCGATTGTAACAATTTCTTCGAGAGAAAAAGGAAATTTATATTTATCGCGAGTCCACATTTACTGGGATGATTGAAGCATTGATCGCAAGAGGACAGAATTTTATCCCGATTTAAAAAACGGAATAACATTGGTATTTAATTGGATGTTACTAGAAATCTGCGCCACGGGTCCGACTCGTTAAAGTACGGCGAATCTATGGATTAATAGAAAATGAAGAAATCGAAATGAATTGTCAGAAACTAGCCGAATGAAAGTATCTATACTCGAACCGAGTGTTAAACAACTACCAGTAGAACTGTTAATTCAGCGCCAGTCGTCGCGGTAACTCGCGAATCAGCCGCCACGCGTTGCATAGAATTGCTTCCACGTGCAGCAGCGAACACGTTAACTAACCATTCGGCTGTCAGAGCGTTCCCCCGCTTCATTTAGACATTTCTGGTGCCACCCCCGTCTTAGATGGCTCGTTTGCCGGTTGCTTTTCATCGTTCGCCAGGAAGCTAAGCGCGGAGCTCGCGGTCGCCGAGACGCGAGAGTTGTTTTACATTTTAAGTAGTGATATCGAGTTTGCATGGAAATGCATGATTATGGGAGGGAGCCGAGGGGAAGCGAGGTTTCCCCGACTGGCGGTGGAGTGGTTAGGACGGATAGGAGACCGCGGGAAAATGAACGGGCACAGGGAAAACGGGCGAGGACGCTGGGTACGCAATTGTGGAGACGGAAGGAAACGAGATAATGTATGCTACTGGGACACGCTCTTTCTCGCCGACCACCTTTCGAATCTTAACGCACCCCCGGAGATTATCTTCGCCCGTTTCGCGTTCAAACGGAATAACTTCCGCGCTGACGGATTTATGGCGAACGAACCGATTAGACTTCGCGAGCGAGCGAACGCCGTATCGATTACAAACGACTCCCCATTCGTTCTGCTATCCGTCCTTTGGTTCCCGAGTTCACGGTTATTGTTCGCGATCGCGGAGAATTTTTGGCGATGTTCGCTGGAAATACTAGCTAAGGGAAACTTGCCAAATCCATCGGTCACTCGAATCGTATCCTCTTGAATTAAATCGTTGACCCTTTGCACTCGACCGGCGACTCTGAGGCGACACTAAAAGTTGCTGTACCATTTTTTAAAAGAATTTACACATTGTTAAAGTTTTGCGTTCGATAAATTGTTAAGAAATAGAAATATTCCGCAAGCAAACAGGTTAAATTTCCAGTGCATCAAATGAAAACAGCCATACCGAATGGAAATACTGTGACTTGAAACTTTCATTTTCGAGTTGTAATAGCCTCGACTGCAAAGGGTTGATATCGGATTAAATATTCATGAGAAAAATGGATGGATCAAATCGATCTTTCTGTTCGAGTTGTTCCTATTAAGATTTAATATTTAATTCGTTCATTGAGATCGTTAAGGGATAGAATGATCTTCGTTAAAATCTTGTTTCTTGCAATCAACGGAGAAAATTGTTGCTCTACATCAAGATTTGCAGTTCAGTTGTTTCTTATTGTACGTGACAGATCAATATTGTTTTAAATATAAAATATTGCCAAGGAATAGAATAATCTTTACTAAAATCTTGTTTCTTGCAATCAACGTAGAAAATTGATGTTTCGCACCAAGATTTCCAGTTTAGTTATTACTTATTGGACGTGACAGATCGATATTGTTTCAAACATAAAATATTGACGCATGGACGTGTGATATAGAATCGAATGAAACTTGAGAATGCTGTATAAAGAGAGCCGAA